GTAGTGGGGTGGTGGTAGTATAAGAGGCATAGAAAGCAATACCAAATAGAGGAGCTTTACTAAGGAGCCTCTCCCCACCTAGAGTCAGCTCTCTTAAACTATTAAGGCTGCATATCAGATTCTTTCTTTTCTCAACCTCTGATTCCATGATTCCAGAGCAGCTGTAGCATGACAGTTCTGAAAGACAGTGTGAAGGCCTGGGGCAGTGGTAGCTATCTGTACGTGGAGTTCATTTATAAATAAGAGTCTGTACTCAATGTAAGTAATAAGAATTATAACTTCAGAATCTGCTTTAAACTAGCAAACAGTTAAAATAGCTAAGAAAACTTATTACCTAATTGAATCTTTTTTTTTTTTTTTTGCTGAGGAAGACTGGCCCTGAGCTAACATCTGTTGCCAATCTTCCTCTTTTTGCTTGAGGAAAATGTGCCCTGAGCTAACCTCTGTGCCCATCTTCCTCTATTTTGTATGTCAGTTGCCACCACAGCATGGCCGCCGACAAGTGGTATAGGTCCGCACCTAGGAACTGAACCCCAGCCACTGAAGTGGAGCGAGCCGAACTTAACAACCAGGCCACGGGGCTGCCCCTAAGTGAATCTTTTTGAAAGGCCAAAAGGAACCAGATAAGTTTAAATCAATTGATCATTTTATAAAATGTATCCAACTTACCATTTCATATTTTTTCTCATACAGTAAATACACTAAAACAATAACGACAAAAATTTTCCTTTAGGTTCTTTACTTTTCAGATTAGGGGCTTCAAAGTATTTTATGGATTAATCAAGTTCTGATGACCTAGATGCTATATACTGAATAACATCACACATTTTATTCTTCAGCCAATTTCCCAGATGTACTAAATATGATGTTTTCTTTTTTGGCCAGGAAAAGCAAAAGACAAGGTATACAGGTTACTGATGCTATCAACAGCAACAATCAGTGATACAAGAAAAAAAATCCTCAATTAAATAGTAAATATAAATACCATTTACAAGAAGATGTCATAATGCCAAAATTAACTAAACTAACCAAAAGCAATAACTCAAATAGCTTTTCTTCCACAAGAAGGAAATATAGAAGCCATGTTAAGAGTATCGCAACAAGGCTAACTGTATTTGACAACCATGGATAAGTAGTTACTAGGAAATTATGGCTATCGGAAGAAATGATAAGACAATAAGAGATGGGCCAAAGGTGTTCAGATTTTCCAAAAGGTAGAAGGTAGTTTTTGAAAAATAAACTTTGACAGCAACCTTCAAGAAGCCCTAGGTAAGGTAAATCTACTCTTCTTTATACCCTAGCAACGAAGTTGGTGAACTAAGTAACAGCATCAAACTGACCTGAGTTCCCATCCTGACCCTGCTTCTTGCTAGCTGTGAACCTGGCAAGTTACTGAGCCCCTCCCTCTGAGTAAAACAAAGTTAATACTACCTACCATGCAGGGTGGTTTTGTCAGGATTAAATGAGATACATTTGTAGTTAAGTAATGGGAGCCCAAGTGTATTGATGTATGTCAGCCTAGAGGAGCGTCGCTAGCAGCATGTTCAAGGGCTAGTTCTGACCCACTTTATTCTACCTTTTACCAATGACTTGAATATAGACACAGAAGTCATGATTATTAAACCTACAGCTGAAACAAAACCAGAACTACTATTTTGCATAACATGAAAAAATCAAGAATCAAGAAGACCTTCAACAAGCAGCAGACATGCCCTGACCTAAAAACATGAATTGTAAAGGGGATAAATGTAAGGTCTTACACTCAGCTTCAGTAAAACAATTGCACAATACCTAGAATGGGGGTAGGGGAGGTGATTTTAAAAGAACATGAGAGTTTTAATTGACTGTAAGCTCAGTATGAGTCAAGAGTGTGATTTACTGCAGACAAGAAGCAAATACAATTTTACCATGTATTAATAATGGTAGTGTCCAGCTCAAGAGAATGAGTTCACATATATTCTTCACTGATCCCTGTTTTCCACTCTGGGCACATTTTAGAAGAAACGTTGACAAAACAGAGCATTTCCAAAGGAAAGTAAACTAAATGATGAAGGGTTTGGAATATAGAATGTTGGAGGAATTGGGGATGTTTAACTTGCAAAAGAGAAAATCTGAGGGAATACATAATCTGTCTTCAAACATCTGAGGAGCTTTCATATAGAAAAGGAATTGTGTTCAGTTCTATGTAGCTCTAAACAGCAGAAATAATATCTATGTATAAAAGTTACATGGAACTCCATATAAAAAAGACCTTTCTAAGATGACACTAAAATGGTCTAGCCTGATGGCGATGTACCCTCTATCACTAGAATATTCAAACAGAGATTAGATTCATTCTCAACAAGAATGTATTGAGCACCTAGGTCCCAGGCAGTGTGCAAAGCACAGACATTGACAGTGAGTAAAAAACTGACCTGGCCTCTGCTTTCACGGAAGGTCAAGTCTAGGGCTAGAGGCAAATAATCACACTAATAAATTTAAAATGACAAACAGATAAAGCTCTAAGGAAAGCAATACAGTTCCTCAAGAGCAATAACATAAGATCCTGACTTGTGTAGGATAAGAACACGCTTCCCTTGAGTAGCTGAGAGATCTATGAGTAGGAGGCAAATGGCTGGGAGCAGAACATTACAAAGAAAGGAAATAGCATATGCAAAGACCTTGCGGTAAGAGAAACTACTGTAGGTTCAAGGACTTAAAAGGCTTATATAACCTGAGCATAGAGAGTAAGGGCGGCAGTGGAGATAAGCAGGAGCAGAACCACAAAGGGCCTTAAAGGCCCAGTTATGGATCTGGTCTTCTCCAAAAAGTAATGGGATACTATTGAGGGAGGGGTTTAAGTAGCAGTGGGCATGGGAGGGAACAATAAATGGGCAGAATGCCGCAAGACCCCTTGGGAGCTTCCCACAGTAGTCCAGGCCAGAAACGACAGCACTTTGGGAAAAGGAGGTGGAAATGAAGATGTGAGAGGTGGACAGACTGGAGAGATTTTTAGGATGTCAAAATGACAGAACCCATGTGACCAGTCCAGTGGGTGATTTGGGTATAGTTTAAAGAAGCAAAGCCCCAAGCCAGGTTCTTTGCCCTACTAATACCCTTTGGGAATGGGGGGACAGAACTCAGTGATGAATTTTACTGGGGGCAGAGGATGTGCTAAGAGAGAAGAGGTATAAAAGATGACCTCCCTGCCCCCCCAGGTTTCCAGCCCATGTAAGTGGATGGATGGTGGTGCCATTCACTGAAATAGGAAATATAGGGAAAGTACTAATTAGGTGGCCTAAGATCATGGGTTTGGATTTGAACAAGTTGAGTTTGAGGTACCTTGGTTTTAAATAGGCAGTCTGATATATTGATCTGGAACTTAAAGGAAGGTCTGGACTGGGAGTAAAATATTGAGAATTGTTGGCATACAGACAGTAGTTGAAGCTGTGGATTTAGAAGAGACTGCCTGAGGAGAAAACAGAGTGAGAAGACAGCCCTGAAGAATATCTGCATTGAATAACAGGGTAGAGGAGGGTGAGTCTGCAAAACAGAGGTCTGAGTAAAAACAGGAGCAAGGCTTCACAGAAGGCACGGGAAGAGCGTTTTCCATGAAGGAGGCAATGGGTCAACAAAGTCAAATGCTGTTGAGACATCAAGTAAGACAAGGAATGAAAAATGTCAGTTAAGTTTAGGGACATCTTTCAGTGGGATGATAGGGCCAGAAGTCAGACTGCAGTGGGTTGAGGGGTGAGTAGGTGGTAAGCAAATGGGAGCGAATAAATGTAGACAGCTCTATCAAGATTTCTGGCTGTAAAGCGGGAAGAGACAAGGTGACAGCTGTGGAGATGGAGGGAGGGTTTGTTTCAAGATGGGAGAAGCCTGAGTAAGTTAAGAGGGAGCAAGTGAAGGCACAGGAGTGGGGTTCCTGAGAAGGGGGGGAGGACAGACTTCTGAAGCATAGGTGGAGAGAGTAGCCTTAGATAAAAAAGAGAGGGTACGGGGAAATGGAAGAGAAAGAGGCCGAATTAAACGACCTTTAAGGTCTCTTCTCACTCGAATCTCATGACTCACAATTCCCTTTAGGTAGGATATTTGCATGTATGCATAAATCTATGCAAACTTATTCAAATATTCCAGTATAAATAGATCAGTCAAGCACGTCCTTATCCTCTAATGACGCAGTTAATGTCCCCAGGTTTATGACCAGTGTAATCTCCGGGCAGGATCCATCCCTCAGAGCGCTTTTCGCTCAACGCACACTGCAATACAGCACAGAACCAGTCCTATCTCTGCTCGCCAAACCCATACTACACCGCGATCTTAGAGCTAAAGGAGGAAGTAAAATTTAAAACCCTAAAACTACAACATATCCTGCTGCATTTGAAACGACTGTCATTCATAAAAGCAAAACGCGACACCCCAAATTCATCCCCACTCCAAACTAAAGGCATTCCTGCCGGATCCGACAGTGACAGGTCCCCCAGATGGCGGGGGTTTGACACTGAAAGTCATTTGCACCCCTTCCTCCGTTCCCAAGACCTTTTATCGTGAAGAACCAGAAATGGGTTCCTAATGATCCATCCCACAGCCCTCGCCCCAATGCAGCAGACGGAGCGCCCGCAGACAGATCCCAGAGGCTGCACCGAATAAGCCCTCGCCAGGGGGTGCGGAGAAACCCCCAGAGCCCGTCAGACGGGTCTGGGACGGCCACAATCCTGCGGCTGCCTTAGGGACGAGGGGAACAAGCCCCAAGGGATGGAGAGGGAGAATTATGGGAGACGCAGCAGACCTGGGGAGCGAGGGGGTCACCTGCCCTCGAGCTTCCTCAGGGGGATGGAGTTTCTGAGGAGGGCTAATTCCCTGCCACTGCTCCCCCTTCTGACCCTTAAGCCCTTCTCTGGCTGGCCGCCCCCTCCAAAACCCATTTACTCAGACTCGCTCCCCTGCCCCTGGGACCTCAGAGTGCCCGCGAGCCCGGCGCCCCCGCCTCGAGCCGCGGCTCCGGGTCTGGTACTCACCCGGCCCGCCATCTTCGCGGACACGTCCTGCTCCGCCGCTGAAGCTCAGTGCTCGGCAGAGCCCGCCCCCGCCGCGCAGGCGCGCAGTCGCGCAGTCGCCCTGAAGCCGCGCGCGCGCCCGGGCGCGTCCCCGACGCCCCCGCCCCGCAGGGCGCGCGCGGGGCCATTTTGGATGCGAGCTTGGGGGCTGCGAGTGTTCTGACTGTATTTTGGGGAAGTGCGCGTCCGCCAGCGGCCTTCTCCGGGGCTCCTTTTGCGCGTCTCATCACAGCTGGCCGTTTGTGCTGGGCTTTGTAGCCAGGCCTTTGATGCTTTAATCACTGAGCGCCTGCTTCTCTTTGCCAGCTGTTGTTCGCTCTTTCACGGCCTTGTAGCTTGATGCTTCCAGACCCGCTGAAATGGGAAAATGTACATAAGCGCCCCTGGCGCGGGTCCTGGCCTGCCCCCGAGGAGCGTTAGGAACGAGGGGTTGGTTCTGAATTCAAGGCCTGCGTGAATTCAGGCTTTTCTCTCTAGGCAGACTTGTTTTCCAAGCTCCTGAAAGTTATCAACGTTGGCATTTGTAGGTAGCTTATGTGTAGCCTGGAAAACTCAGTATTTTTTTTCAAATTTAAAAATGAATTATGGGGCCGAGCGGTTAAGTGCGCGCGCTCCGCTGCGGCGGCCCAGGGTTCGCTGGTTCGGATCCCGGGCGCGCACTGACGCACTGCTTGGCAAGCCATGCTGTGGCGGCGTCCCATATAAAGTGGAGGAAGATGGCCACAGATGTTAGCCCAGGGCCGTCTTCCACAGCAGAAAAAGAGGAGGATTGGCGGATGTTAGCACAGGGCTGATCTCCTCACAAAAAAAAAAAATAATAAAAAATAAATAAAAATGAATTGTGATTATTTCTATATCTTTATTTTATGCCTTTTTTTACCTGTTTCCTACCATACTATTTCCTCACCAGAATCTCAGAATAGATCATAATAATAATAACAGCGGCACCCTACAAGAAGAGAGATTCTGCCAAATGGTTCCTTTGATGCTTTTATTGCCCCCGCTATTTTATATTTGTCTTCATGGTTACACAAGACGATAGGAAACAATAGGATTTATCTTTCATTTCTCACAATTGATTAGAAAAAATAGTTTTTTCCAACTTGAAGAAGGGAAAGAAAGAATTAAAGGGGTAGGCATGTTTAACGATTTAAAATTGAGAGCTAATAAAAATCAATAAGTGACCTGGAGATGAGCCAGGGACAGAAGAAAAAAATCAGGTGAGCTTCATAAACTATCACACTGTACCTGAGAACCAGAGTGCTTTGTTGGACAAATCAGATTGTGAAAGATGAAATGATTGGAGCCATATTAAAATAGAGCCAGAGCAGCCGTTTTAGAGGAACTGCCTTGCACCGTTTTCTTTATTTTCCAAACTGGACCAAACTGCCAACACTCCTATTTGTAGAGAGTGATAAAACTGGGCTTTGCTGATGACTGAATTGCTAACCAATCAATGAAGTACAAAACTAGCCTCACTTCGTGTAGCACCAATGAGCTCTTCCTTAACACAGCATACCTCATCTTCCTCCTTTTTTCCCCTAAAAACTCTGAGCCCATCTTCTGTAATCAGAGCACATTTGAGTTTCTCCTTGAATCTGTGTCACCTGAATTGCAATTCTTGAAACCCAAAATAAACTTTTCACTTCTCTTAAAATTTATGCCTCTTATATGTTGACATTACGTTAACTTAATCATCAATGGATCAGAGAGTTTATCAAGAAAGGGAACTAACTGAACTCTGATCTATTAACTTGCAAAAGCTGTAAAAATACTTAGAATAGGTTGGGGAGTCAGGAGGCTTAGGTTCTTGTCCCTTTCCTTGCTCAGCCCCTCACTCACCATGTCCCTTCACTCCTCTGAGCCCTGGTTTACTTATTTATAAAGTGAGAGGTATAATTAGATAACAGTTGTGTCTTACATTTTTTGATACTGTGAATTTGAATCTATAAATCAAAGAGATTTTGCCCAAATAATTCCTGGATCCAGAAGATGACATTGGCTCTCAGTGCAATGATCTGATATTATCTTCAAGGCCAGAGAATAATGCAAACATATTTATCTATACCACTGCTTTGTTGTCTGTTTTACTAGATAAGCTAGATTGCAAGTGAAAATGTCTTCAATCTCTCCAACAAGAAGGAATGTGTATCATCTAGGAAAGATAGGCCTGCTGGAAAAGTTCCACAGTGTCAGCTTATAAGCATAGCTACCCATGATAAGGGGCTCTTTGTATCCTCTCACAAGTAGTATAAATTCAGTAGAATCATGTGTACAGCCCTGCAGAACCTACCAAAGAAATTTGTAGTGAAACATGAGCCCTTGTCCTTAAGGTGCTTAGCACTCAGCTGGAGGGGACAGATTCTGAGACATTGCTCCAGGTTGTCATGTGTCTGCGCATCCCATCTGTGCTGTGTTCTGATATTCAAGGTCATCTTAGAAACAGGGCAGAACTGATTCTGCATCACCTCCTGAGGAATCCTTGTGCAGTAGTCAAAAGACAACAAATATTTTTGCTGCCCCAAATCCATTCCTCCTTTTTCTGGTCACAGCTCCCCCAGTTCCTGCAGCCCTGGAAGCATTGTCAGACAAGATACCTTGCCCTCCCTGGCCCAAGAGGCAGCATAGAACCCAGAACCAATCAGATGATCTCTGTCTCCCAAGCAACTACGATCTTAACTATGCTAAGGCAGAAAGACAGCAAATAGCTAGAGTTGATTTCCTGACACAGTGAAAAGATTGTCCACTAATTATCTAGATCCCTGGAGTTTACTTGGTTTCTGTCTTTGGCAAAATCTGGTTGCCCCTCCTTTGTCTGGATTTCTGTAAGTTAGTCACTTTCTTTCCCTTCCTCAAAAAGATACCTCCCCTAGGGCCGGCCCCATGGCCTAGTGGTTAAAGTTCTGTGCGTTCTACTTTGACGGCCCTGGTCCCTGGGTTTGGATCCCGGTTGCAGACTTACACCACTTGTCAGCCATGCTGTGGCAGTGACCCACATACAAAATAGAGGAGGATTGGCACAGATGTTAGCTCAGGGCGAATCTTCCTCAGCAATAAATAAATAAATACCTCCCTCAGCTCTTCATTGGTCCCTGAAGTCCTTTTAATATGCTTTCCTTTTACAGTGAGAAAATAGGTAAGACAGCTAACAACAATTTAAATTTGACCTAAAGTGTAAATGACTAGCATCATTTTCTAAGAGCTGGAGGGCTTTTTAGGGGGCAGGAGGTGGATGAGGTGGGACTAGGGATAGGCTCAGAGAGGAAAGGGGGACTAGGTGCCTGAAAGGTGAGGAGAGAACATGATGACACAATGAAAAGGAGATAACAGGAGCCAGGAAAAAGAACAGTGAGGCCGGGGGGAAAGGGGTAAGGGTTGATCAAGGTCAGCTCTTGCTGAACACAGCTACCCAGTGGGATGGTTAATTTTATGTGTTAACTTGGCAGGCCGTGGTGCCAGATACTTGGACAAATGTTATTCTGGATGTTTCCATGAGGGTATTTTGGGATGAGATTTACATTTAAATCCATAGACTTTGAGCAAAGCAGATTGCTCTCCATAATGTGGGTGAGCCTCATCTAACCCGTTGAAGGCCTGAATTGAACAAAAGGCTGATCTCCCGGGAGCAAGAGGGAATTCTCCAGCAGACGGCCTTTGGACTTGAACTGCAACTCTTTCCTGATCTCCAGCTTGCCAGCCTCCCCCATCAGATCTTTGGACTTGCCAACCCTCCACGATCGCATGAGTCAATTCCTTAAAATAAATCTCTTCATCTATGTATACACACATACATACGCATCCTATTGCTTCTGTTTCTCTGGAGAACCCTGACTAATACACCAAGTTTCCTGCCAGTGACAAGGAAGTGATTCCAGGCTTTTACTTGGTGAAGCTGGGTATCACCTGTTGCTCCCTGATAGGTAACCAGCATCTATAGGTGGAGGCCTGATTCGAAGACTTGAAGGCTGCATGGATATAATTCTATGTTCAAATTGTGTCCTGTTAAACATCACTTAATAAGTGCTCCATTGGAACGGGGCTGAGTAACTTTTTGGTCACATAGACATGTTGATTGTAACAGTTGTGGTAACAACTTAACTGGTGGAAAATAAATTTCTTTTGTGCTTTGAGGAGTGAGAGCAATATTAAACTACATAAAAGTGAACTGATTCACTGTCATCCAGTTTATTTAACAAAACAATGCAACCTTTTGGTGATTTCCACGTGAAGCAAAGGAAAACTACCTTTAGTCTGAGGAAACTCTGGGATTAACCAAATGGCGCTGGGGACAGAGAGGAGTGTTTAGTCACTTCCAGGCATGAGTTTCAAAGATCTTTCAGCGGGACTGTGTGCAGGTGTTTCAAGGAACAGTGCTGTGCAGCGAATTTTCCACTGCATGTAAATGTCAGAGGGTGTCCTCCAGCGGCTGTGTGTGTGTGTGTGTGTGTGTGTGCGAGACAAGGACATCATCACCCCTCTTGCAGATGTCATTGTGAAGCAGACAAAGGTGGTCTTCATAGGCTCTTGTATACCTTTCCCTCTGTACCTCCTCCCCTCTTTCCCAAGTTCTTTCAGCATTAGTTACAATATATGTCTCTTCCCAGGAGTATATGCAATTTAAGAGAGCATTGGCAGGGAGAGTAATGCCTAGCCTAAGGAAACAAATCTCTAATGGCAAATTGCAGAGACTGTGACATCTCTATGGGGAGCTATGCGTGGGTAGCGATCCTAATTCTTGCCCCTCCAATCATAACCCACAAGCTAGCCGCCCATGCCCTAAGCCCAGGCTTTCAGGGAGCTTTGTGAAAACTTCACTTTACAGCCACATCATAGCCAGTTTTAGGAAGATGGAGTTGCCATCTGTTTGTTTTCTGTCAGAGAAACCTATTTCCCAAAAGGCTAGGGAACAGAGCAAAACGGAGAAAGGATATGGAATTTTAAAAGAAAGGTAGACCAGCCAATGCAATGCAACATTCTAGCTGTAGTCAGGTGTGGGTTTTGTTTTGTTTTGTTTTTTGGATGAATATGTCTTTTCTCTTTAGAGGATCAAGGACAAACACCTATAGTCATGAAAATCAATTCATTCTAGAAAATCTGAGTGGGCAGGAAAGATGATAGAATCCTCTGTGGAAAGGAATGAACGTTGCTATGGAAACCAGAGGATCCTTTAGTGCGAGCCCCAAGCACTTACCAGGCTGCTTAACCCTGCATATTAACATTGTGGGTCCAGAGAGCTGCCTGCATCTCTTTGAAAAGAGATTATTCAGATATTGGTCTGATGAGCTTTTGTGCATCTTGAGAAAAGAAAGTTGGAGTTAGGTGGGAGGGGCTGAGTTGCCTAGAACATTAAGATACTAAAGGCCCACAAACCACAGCTGATTGGGCATGACTATATTGGCTACATGTTCTCCGGGGGGCTCTTGAGAAAAAGTGAAGATGTGTCCTAAGGTTTCTCCCAGGGATGAGTTTACTGGAGGGTTGTTTCTAGGGCAAGAAACATGTACGGCAGGGCTTTCTAAGAGAGGGAGAAGACGTCTCTTGAGGAGAAGTGTAACCAGAATAGAGAGAGAAGTTTAGTGGAAGGTGGTCTGGGTATACTGTGTGACATTTAAACTCTCTAAACTGAAGTGTTTTCACGGGAGAATTAGATGAGATAATTATCACAGAGTACCTAATACACTCAGCACCCGACCCGGCAGTTGCACAGCAGATGCTAACTACACTACCATGGGTACTATAACTAAAACTAATAACACAATTAACTGATTTTAAAGTCTAACTCAGAGATGGGGAGCTGTCTCCAAATAAGATGTTTCTCCAGGGGAAATTCTCTCTCTGCTTCTCCCAAGAGCACTTTGTACTTTCCATGCTGTACAAATAACATTATTGAGTGGGCAAGAAATGTTTTCCATGAAGAAAAACACCCCACTCAATCAATATCATCATAAGCAATTTTTGTTTATTGAGTCATCACAGTTTGCGCTTGATAAACTTCCCCTGAGCAGCTATCACGATTTCTATTAAACTTCCTAATTGTCAGAGTTTTGTATTTTTTTAAAATAACAAGTTTTGCATTATAAAATTAGTATAACATTTTCTCTCAATCACTTAAAAAAATCACAACCCCACCTCCTGAATACAATCACCAGTAAGTAAAAAGAAATATATGAAACATATGTATGTATAAAACATATATATATTATATATATATATCAATATGTGTGTGTATATGTATGTATCTATATGGTAGTAATCCTTTAGTAAGTGAGTGCCATGTGGGTAAGGACTTTGTTTAATTCACAGGCACAATGAAGATCTTGTGAAAATAATGCATATTCTCAGGTTGTGAAGGGTGGAGGGACAAAGCTGTATTATTATCAGCCCAAACATTTCTTCCATAGGTACATACAATGGTAGGTAAAAATCTTATCTTTGCTATTTCACCTTTTTTTCAGGTTATGATGACTCCATTCAAACAAACAACCTTCATAGTTGCTGGCAAAACAACTTTACATCTTTGTCTTGGAAGTCAGCAGGACACAAATAGATCATTGGTAGTACATGAAATAAAAACACTAGTAAAATTTGGAAAAAAATAACAAGAAATCAAATAGATGAAAATTAAACCAACATGAGACACCTTTTTATTTTTATTTTTTGGTTATGAAATTTGTAGAAACAGAACACTAAAAACTCTCTTTTTCGAAAAGAGCTTATCAATTAAGGAAGTAAACGTGGCTTTCACTTGGTCGATGGGAATGTAAATTTGTATAATCTACTCAGAAAACAATTTGTCAATGTAATGTGTACCAAGAGCCTTAAAAATCTTCATGTTTTGACCCAGTGGTTCCACGTTCTGAATTTTTTCCTAAAAAAATAGCAAGGAATGCAGGGGAAAAAAAAGATGTTCACTGCAACATTATTCATAACAGAAAAACTTAAAAACAATGTAAATATTGAACTATACAAAGATGATTAAATAAATCAGAGTATGATGGAATATCACAAAGCTATTATGTATTCATAATCCGAACTATGTAAAAATCACATGGAGGGCCGGCCCCGTGGCTTAGCCATTAAGTGTGCGCACTCTGCTACTGGCGGCCAGGGTTCGGATCCCAGGCACGCACGGACACGGCTTCTCCAGCCATGCTGAGGCCGCGTCCCACATACAGCAACTAGAAAGATGTGCAACTATGACATACAACTATCTACTGGGGCTTTGGGGGAAAAAAAGGAGGAGGATTGGCAATAGATGTTAGCTCAGAGCTGGTCTTCCTCAGCAAAAAATGAGGAGGATTAGCACGGATGTTAGCTTAGGGCTGATCTTCCTCACAAAAAAAAAAAAATCACATGGAAAAATGACTGGAAAGAAATAAACCACAATGTTAACAGCGATTGCCTCTGGATGATAGGATGATGGGTGATTTTTTTCTTTTCCCTTTCTCCTCCTCCTCTTCCTCCTTTTCTTCTCTTTCTGGTGGAGAGTGCCTTTTTTTTCATTATACTGTAAAAAAATAACTATGTATAATTTTTTATAGTCAGAAAAAATACTTTAAAGGAGCCATGTGGAAAAATCTCTCACACGTACTTATATTTACCCTCATATATACAATCAGTGTGACCAGGAAAGTATTTGGTTAAATAGATTAAGATGTCAGACAGACGTAGGCTTGAATCTCTGCCCAGCTACTTAATTTGCCCCCTCTTTGTAAAATGGGAATGATAGTAGTTTCTAACTCATGGGACGTTATGGTGATGCAGGTAAAGTCCTTGACATATTTCCTGGCACATATTATGCATTCAACAGATGTTAGTTTTTCTGAGCGTGTACAGTTATCTACCATTTACGGGCGTTTGTAACCTTTTTAGTTAACCAAGTTGGCGTTTAGGGGGCTGAGTTATTGAGAGCATTTCTCAGGAAGTGAGGACTGCGGTTCTGCGACGTCTGAACGAAGGTGCAGGTGGCTAGTATTTTCCCCAACTGTTTAAAATCTGTTTAGAAGCAGGGCGGCAGTCTAGCTTCAGACTGAATAGGAAACCTTCCTTATGCCTAATTTCGGTGTCGGTGTCTGGGTATTTCCTACAAAACAACGCCCAAACTAGTTTCCACTTTTAGCTCAACCCCGGCAAATTTCTTTAAGTAGCGCCATGAACTTGGCCCCGCCCACATGCCCCCACCCGGTTGGTCCGAATGCTCGCGGGGTTAGTTCAAGCCTGGGGATTCTTCCCAGTTGATTGGCGGAGTAAATCGGCGAGCCTTCTGTCTTTTTGATTGGTCGCGCGCGGCACTGGGGCGGGGCACATGGGCGGGTCTCGCCGGGACGCAGTGAGCTGTTATTGGAAGATGAACCCGGCATTTCCAGAGCTTCGTGCCGTCGCCTAGGTCGCGAGGGGCGGGCCTCCTGCCCCCCCCCCCGGCTATTATTTTCTTTTGCATTGGCCAGACGTGCCGTCACTCACAGAACTTCGAGCTCATTGGTGCAAAAACTCCAAGAGGCCGTGGGTGATTGGTTGCTTCCTGTTCCCGCCCCCGCGTCAGTCGCCATTTTGCAGACGGGAGCCGAAATCCTAAAGGTAGAGGTGTTGGGAGCCGTGCTCAGTTTGGGGACAGGTGAGTCGCGGGCTGAGGAGAAGGGGCGGCGGCAATCAAGGCCTGGTTGGATTTCCGCACCGTCGGCGGGCAGGAGACTAGAGAGCAGCGGGTGGCTTGCGGAAAGGGGCTGGGCTCGCTGTCCCTTCTCTGCCCGTTGCAGGGCGGGGGCTGCGGGATCCGAGAGAGGCTTGGTGCGGCCGTCGTGGTGCCCTCCGCTGTCCCGAGGGCCCGCAGGTGAGGGTGAGGCCGCCCCGCTCTGGTGGTCGGGCAGAAAGGGCATTCAGAGGCCTTCCCCGAGGACTGGGCGCGCGTCCCTACCCGCCGCACACGCCCACTTGGCCGCCCGCTTTCGTTCGTGCCCTGGAGGTCTCGCCGCCGGTTCTCGCCGGTGGACAACTGGTGCTTGTCGCAGGGCAGCGTGAGCGTGCCGAAGAGGCGCCCTGCTCGGTGGCGGCGTCTTCTAGGGGTCTCCAGCGGCGCAGCGGGGTCTGGGCGCCTCTGGTAGATGAGTGGGAAGACAAGGGAAAGAGAAGCCAGAGGGAGAAACTAGGAGATGTACCGTGTGTGGTTGGGAGGGGGAATCGCACGAGTATTTGCCTCAAAGGACATCTAAGTGGGAAGTACCTTTCCTCCCCCAGCACGTTCCTTACGGTTTTTCTCATCTGTGAGATTTGTCTGTTTTCGGAAACAAAGACAAGGAATCTCTAGTTTTGTCGCCCAGCAAGATTTTGAGTGCTGCCATGCACTGGACTTTTATATACTTTCTATATGGACCTTCTGTGAATGATTAAAACATTCATCGTTCTTTGGTTGTAGCAGTTCACCTGTACCTCATTTGTGTACAGGATAAAAACTCTGCCCCTTTTCTCTGCTCAGAGAATGGAATGGTATGTGCTTGAACATCATCCATGGTGTTAAACTACTGTGGGAAACCATTGAATTTTAGAGGTGGCGCCTCTGGAATTTGGTGACCTCCCGTCTGAGGTCACTAGGGTGCGGATGAATGGGAGTGCATTCGTCCCACTGCACCGTCCCACTGCTCTGTCCAGGAGTAAAGTTTTCCTTTGGTTAGCAGTTTAAAAGGAAAATCGTAGTCTTTGGAACAAGGATTTTTTTTTTTTTTCCTGTTTGAAGAATCTTTGTAGACTTCCAAGAGCTTGGTTAGAGGTGTAGACACAGTAGTACTTTTAAGTCTTTAATTAGAATGTCAAGCTCACATTTCAGATAGACTGATCTGTTAAAAGAAAAGACTGTAGAGTAAATTTATGCAAAGCTAGTCTATCTTTACTATTGCCTTCCTTTATAGAATATTATGCACTCCACTGAAAAATAAAATATTGAACATTCATGCTGTTAGAAGTCAATATAGTGATTGCCTTTTGGGGAGTAACGCTGGGAGGGGGTAGGAGGAGTTCTGAGTGGCTGGTAATCATATCTTTTTGATTTGGTTCGTGACATTTCATTGAACTGTACAGTTGACATGTATGTTTATATTTGTTTGTAAATTACATTTCAATAAAAAGTTTAAAAAGTTAGTTGAGAGTAAAGTGATGGTCAACACTGGACACTGTGGTACGTCTTCAGCTCTTTGCCTGGTTAATTTCTCTCTTAGCGGTGCAGTTTCTCAATGCTGTATTTCCTCACGAAGTTTTTTAGGATCTTTTCTGGGTATTGATACTGTCTGCTAGCCAAAGGCAGCTACTAAATTTCTAAGAGATATTGATATTTCACCTGCCTTAAGGACTTTGCTTCACATTGTGTAAAATAAACTGGTTTTCTGCTTCATAAGTTCTCCTTTCAAGAGAATTTAGATGTATTTGATGTGGCATTGCTTCCGTACTTGAGGTGACTGAAGCCTGGCACCATGGTGGTGGCATTGAGACTGCGCTTCCACATATCCCACTTGGTTGCTGCAGTGGAAAAGAGAATTTTCTGGCAAGGCATCAAAAGGCTTAGTTGAGTTTCTCTTTGAAAACAAGACACACTACTCCTTATTGGCCAAACTAAAAATTGTTTAAATTTTACTAGGAGCCACCTCTAATACAGACTTGTATTTTGTGTCTGTCATTTCTATATTTCTGCAAAGAACAATTACTTGACTTGCCTTTCTTTTCATTCAGGTAACAGAATTCAATTACAATGGGAAACGTTTTTGAAAAACTGTTTAAAAGTCTATTTGGGAAAAAAGAGATGCGAATTCTTATGGTGGGTTTGGATGCAGCTGGAAAAACCACCATCTTGTATAAATTGAAGCTGGGAGAGATTGTGACTACCATCCCTACAATAGGTATGTTAACAACCTGTGACAAGACCAATGTACAATTTTAGTCTCTTATACTTTTGCCTGCTTCTTACATTATTGAATATTTCTTTTTGAAAATCTTATCTGCCCCCAAAGCGTAAACTTTTTGAGGCCCAAACCAGGTCATATATACTTTCCTAGTTGCTCCCCCGCCTCTCTAGCACATTGGTAGGTTTACAGGGGCATCATCTGAACACATTTACGTTAGCAAATTTAACCCTATCTGCTTTGCAAAAAGAAAAAGAGAATGATTAAAAACAGTGAGGGCAGTTATGCCATCCATTCCTCCCAGATAGTGTGTATCCAAGCCTAAGCCTGAGATGGGAGCTGGGAACCTGCTGCTGCCCCCTCAGCCAGTCTTTGTTCCAGCTGGCCTTTCTAAGTGGAAGCATCTCTCACACGAAGTATGCTCCTAGTGTTTAAAGATGCAGTGTGAATTTTTTTTCTTCATCTGGCTCAAGCCAACTATTTGAGCTAGTGTCCAATTGCAGAATCTAATTTGTTCTGATGCTGAAGGGCAGTCTGGCAGTGTAGTTATTCCTGTGAACCAGCACTGTGTTTTGTGAGCTAGTTAAGGGTTTTACAAAGGTGGTTTTGACAGAATTTAATCTTTGCCTTATGACCTGCCTCTGGATCCAAACCCCTGAGTGAGAATAGACTCCACAGGATGGCATGAGAACGGCAGGAGTGTTCTGAACGTTGGATTAGGCACAGGAACCAAATGATCAACTTCCAACTTGGGCAGTAGCTTCAGAGATTGCAACATTTGAAGGAGGAGGAAACCAGATGGAGAAAATGTTCATACCCACAATTAAAAAAATGTTATTAGTCTGAAATGAAAATACCATAATTGCTTGGTTTTCTCCAATTATAAAAATAATTCCTGCTTCCATAATGTCATACATACAGAAAAACATAAGCAAGTGTTAAAAAACACTCTGCTATTAAGATTTTGGTAATATATTTGTAAAATCATATGCATGCTGTTTTCCAACTTATTTTGCGTTAGACAATATGTTTGGATCTTTCTGTGTCATTTCCTCTCTGGAATGCTTTCCTGCCTTCTTCCTTAGCCCCCTCCCCCCTTTGTGTAGCTAATGCCAGCTCATTCTTTTGGTCTCAGTTTAAACATTATTTCTCAGAGACACCTTTCCTGACCCCTTTGACTGGTTTTCCCCTTTTATAAGTTGCCATAGCAACTTGAACTTCTTAGTAACCGTCAATACATTTGTCATTGCTTGCTCACTGTCTCTCTTCCTCCCAACAGTGTAAATAAGAGCAGGAGTCATGTCTGTCTTGTTCACCACTGTCCCCAGGCGCCTAGCGAAATGCCTGGCACATAGTAGGTGTCCAGTAAATATTTGGCGGATGAGTTGAATAATGATCTTGTGGTGGATCGTTAAACTGATGGCCCCAGTGGATCATGCCCCTCAGTATTCACACCTTGTGCAGTCACCTTCCGTAGTGGTGCTGAGCTTGGCCACGGAACTTGCTTTGGCCAAGGGGACATTAGCAGATGTAATTCAAACAAAGATTTGATAAGGGCTTGTGCCTTGGGTCTTGCCCTTTTGCAAGTCTCTACCACCATATGAGGAAGCTCGATGCTCCTTGAGAATAAAAAGACCACCTGGAGAGGGAGAGGCCCAGCCCAGCCCCCACCGGACTCAGTCGCCAAATGCAGCTGCAAGAGGAAGCCCAGGCAACCCACAGAATTGGTGGGGGGGGGGTGGGAATCATTGTTCTAAGCCACTAAGTTTTGGGGCTTAAATAATAAGCGACACAGATCAACATCAAATTTTAATAACTGGAAAGTGTTCCATTATGTGGCTATATCTTTAACAGATTTCCATTGATAGATGATTAGGTTATTTGCAATGGTTCTTGGTAAACGATGCTGAAGTGAGCATCTTGAACATTTTTGCAAACACGTACTTTATCTCCTTGCAGTAATCCCTGGAGGAGGGATTGCTATGTTCAAACTAATGTGCATTGCCAAATTGCTCTCCAAAAAGCTTGTGTCACCAACTATAAAAAGTGTTCATTTCTCTGGGGAATTTGCCAGGCTGTGTGTCTTGAAAAGAAAAAAACACTGAGTTCTGTTGGGATTTCTTTTATTATAAGTGAATATGTTCAAACGTCCATTGGCCATTTGTATTTGTTCTTCTGTGACTCTTTTTTAATACTGTTCAGCTATTTTTCTTTTGGGATTTTTCTTCAAATCCTTCAAATCCTAAGGATTTGAAGAAGGACATCGTGGGTCGGGAACAACTCTTGTCACATATTAGTTGTTTCCCGGTTGATTGTCTTTCAACCTTGTTTTTTCTGTGTTTTGCTAGACAGAAGTTCAAAATTATTAGGTAGCTAAATTTACCAATTTTTTTCTTTTTAGTTTTGGTATCATTTTTAGAAAAGTCTTCCCCACTCCAAGATCATAAAAGTATTCACCAAAATTTTCTTCTGCTAATTTTATGGGTTATTTTTATTTCATTTTTAGAAACATTTAAATATTTGACCACTTGAAGTTTTTTTTTCTGTAAGTAAGGTAGGGATTTAGGTATATTTTTCAAATGAGTAGGCCAGTGCTGTCCAGTAGAACTTTCTGCAGTGATGGAAATGTCTGTGTCTGTGCTCTCCAGTGTGGTAGCCATTAGCCACAAGTGGCTGTGGAGCACTTAAAGTGTGGCTAGTGTGATTGAAGAGCTGAACTTTTAATTGTATTTAACTTAAATCTAAATAGCCACGTACGTATTGGTCATGCACGGGGGTGGACAGTTGTCCAATGCCATTCATTTACTTTATGCAAATGCCTTATTTTATCATATGCTAAATTCTCATGGGTACGTGTGTCTTTTTCTGGACAACTCCCTGTTGTATTCATTTGAACTCAATTACTTCAAATATGACTAGGGTTTCATAATATCTTTAAAAATAATTTGTTATTCATTTTCAGAGATTTCCTAGTTATGCCTACTTGCTTACTTTTCCAGATTAAATTTAAGATCATTTTGCTAAGTTTCCTGCCCTTCCTCCCTTTCCCCTATCACTTTAGGATTGAAATGGCATTGAATTTATGAATGTACACCTTTATACATTTAGCAAGAATTTAGATTGCTGCAGTGTTTTGAGTGCTCTTGCTGAAACAAGGCATGACTCAAGATGAGATTTGGAAAGTGAGCAGGGCCAGGTTGTGGTGGGTCTTGACGATCATGTTTGGGATTTTGGGGGTGGGAAGCCAAGGAGAGATTATTCTTTTTTTTTCCCCCTTATTTTATTTATTTATTTTCTTTCTTTCTTTCTCTTTTGGTGAGGAAGATCAGCCCTGAGCTAACATCTGATGCCGATCCTCCTCTTTTTTGCTGAGGAAGATTGGCCCTGAGCTAACATCTGTGCCCATCTTCCTCTACTTTATATGGGATGCTGCCACAGCATGGTGTGACAAGCGGTGCATCGGTGCGTGCCCGGGATCCGAACCTTCGAACCCCAGGCCACCGAAGCGGAGCGTGCACTTAACTGCTTGGCCACTGGGCCAGCCCCTCCCCTTATTTTAAATATTTCAGTCAAACATAAATGTGTAGAGAAGTGATGTGACCACATTGCTAGCTTTGATGAGAAAATAGTAAATGGATGGAGAGAGGAAGGGTAGCTATAGGTCGATTAGTTAGGCTGTTTCAGTAATGGGCTAGAAATGATGGTTTCTTGGGTTAGGGTGACTATTAAATATTTAGGAGATTGAATTGATAAGATCTGGTAATGAGATTTTTCGGAATGAGAGAGTTAAAAGCGTCAGGGATGTGTCCCAGATTTCCAGCTTGTGGAATGAAGTCAGTGCGGGGATAACTAGCAGAGGAGCAGGTTGAAGGAGCAGATTGAAAACTTGAAGTTCAATTTTTGACATACTGTCTTATTGGAGCCTTTGAGACGTCTAACCAAAGATGTTGGCTAGAAGGTTGGCTTATGAGCCTGAAGCTCGCAAGAGAGACCTGGGTTGGGGTAATGTAAATGTTACCCAACCAGGTTCGTTTTGCCCGCTGCATGATTATGCCCATCACCAAGATGAGGAGTTTGCAAAGAGAAAGGATTTAATCACAAGGTGGCCAAGCGAGGAGGCGGGAGGATCAATCTCAGATCCACCTCCTTGAAAATGGGGACTCAGGGATATTTATGGGATAAGGGGGCGGGACAGTCTGAAGTGTGGGAATAGATGATTGGAGGTAGGGAGAAATGAGGTAATTAATGATTTGCGCAAGCGTAGTCAAGCTTCGTGCCTCTTCATAGGACACATGTTCACAAAATGGCAGCGTTACCGTGATCTGAGGGTGGAGTTTTTAGCTCCTTAGCACCAAAAAGTTCACTTGTGGAGCATTTGCACAGGCCAAGTTGATGGGTTGGTGCTCTCAACCGGCCTGAACTGGATGAAGACGCGGGGTCGACTCTCAGTTCATGAAAAACTCAAGCAGTCCACCCGTTACCATGGTGACCCAAGCCTCAGAAATGTTATCCATAGGGTGGGTTTTAGTAATGCATTATCTGCTTTTGCAAACAAACAGCTGAGTATGGTTAAAGCAAGTTGGCCCCCAGTTTCATAAATTTGAGAGTTGTTAGCACAAAGATGGTAATGAAGCCCTAGGAATGAGGGGGTGTGGAAAGAGGAGAATGAGTGGGACAGGACAGAGTCATGGCAACTCCGTCATTAAAAGATCAATTAAATGTGGCTGAGCTCACTAAGGAGACTGAGAAGGTACAGCCATAGAAATAGAAGGCAAATGGGAAGCCAGGGAAGTTTCTAGGAGGGAGTCAGCAGTAGTGTCAAAATCAAATTTATTACAAAAGATAAAGATAAAATCAAATTACATAAGAACTGAAGAGCATGTGTTGGATTCGTTGACATGGTGATCATTGCTGACCTTGGCGGGACCAGCCACAGAACATGGTGAAGTAGATCTAAGGTACTGTTTGTTGGGCGAGAGGTGACGGACAAAGAAGGCACAGTGAATGGAGCTGAACTTCTTAGAGAAGTTTGACCTTAAAAGGGAAAATAGAGGGTGGTAGCAGGTGAAGAAGTGGCGTCAAGGAAGGGTTTTTTTGAAAGATGTAAAAGGCTTAAGCGTGTTGAGAACAGGTTGGAGATTTCAGATAGGGGGAGAGAATAGCAGTAGTAAAAGGTTCCAGACAGTGTGGGTGGATTGGATCTGGCACACAGGTGGATGGAATTGGCATTAGGTAGTTGCCCTCTTCTGTTGTTCAAAGGAGGAGGGAGAAAAGTGTGGGTGAAGACGTAGGTAGGTTTCTACATTGCGTATGGGAAGTGGGAGTCAATCCCATTAGTGGCTTCTGTTTGCTCCGAAGGACGCCGAGAGAAAGAGGGGAGATGGGAGAGTAGAGGAGGTTTGAAACATCTGTCATGACGAGTGGAAGAGCAAGCTGACTACCATATTCTGTTTTGTAAGCTGTAGATCTTTGACTAGTAAGCTGCTTTGTAAATTAAAAGTACTGTCTAAATGTTAGCTGAAATTATTTTGAATTGTTCAACCAGCAAAAGTCTTAAAAATTTTCTCCATCTTCTCAATTTAGGTTTCAATGTGGAGACGGTAGAATATAAAAACATCAGCTTCACAGTCTGGGATGTTGGTGGCCAGGACAAAATCAGACCTTTGTGGCGACATTATTTCCAGAACACCCAAGGTAAAGATTATCCTATCTATTGCCTTGGAACTGTTTATATTAAATGGGTCTAAAGAGGGATGCTTGAGGGGCCAGCCCCGTGGCTTAGCGGTTAAGTGCTTGCGCTCCCCTGCTGGCGGCCCGGGTTCAGATCCTGGGCGCGCACTGACGCACCGCTTCTCTAGCCATGCTGAGGCCTCGTCCCACATACAGCAACTAGAAGGATGTGTATCTATGACATACAACTATCTACTGGGGCTTTGGGGGAAAATATAAATAAAATTATTAAAAAAAAAAAAAGAGGGATGCTTGAAGCAAAACCTTGTGGTGCTCTGCTTTATATGGACTGTCACTCATTCCTTCTCTTCTGATGACCCACTTACACTTACTGGGGAGCTTTCTCTTTGACAAATGGTTCCTGCCTTTCTAGAAAAAGTACTTGGACTTTAATGCCTTACATAGGAAACTCCTTTTAATCTAGAATAGTTAGAAAATGTTTATCCTGATGAATTTTATCTTTTGGTTAATTGAGAGTTATATGTGCCTTAGATGAAGTACCAATTTTTGAAGAATTTGAATTCAGTAAACTCTTTTAAACCTGTTGAGAATATCTAAAAATCATGCCTCTGGGGAGAAAGAGATGAACATGGATGGCTGGAATCCCAAATCTCAGCATCTTGTGTGGCCACAGCTCCTCCCTGCTGCCCTACTGTTCTAACAAGTACATAAATAGGCATGAATATCCCAGATTGTTACCTTATTTCCTTATCATTGGTTTGTTAAAAGTTGGGGTTTTAGTGTGTTCCACTCCCCCATCAATCTATTTGAGTTTTTTCATTGATTATATTTTGGGTAAATGATACCTTACAGAATATTGCCTATCAAGATATCCGTAACTGTTCACATAGTTTTTACAGCCTGATTCTCATGTAGAATCATAACCATATGGCATCTACGTACTCATTTTAGAATTTATTTGGAGTCTTTTAATTTTGAAGATTCCACTACCAATGGTGGTTTCATTGCATGTGTTTCATAGAAAAGACTTATATTTGCTGCTCTTTTCAGACCAAATACCCAAGTCGACTATTCCTTTATATTTTATATCATTGTTTTAGCTGTTACCTCTGGCACTTAACTCTGTTTGCAGTTATTTTCTCAGCCTATAGATTTTAGAATGTCTTTCCTCAAAATAGTACATTTATCTTTTTTTTTTTCACTTTTGTTAGTGGAAAATTTTAAACATTTACAAAAAGAGAGAGGATACATAAGGAACCCCCATGTACCCATCACCCAGCTTCAACAGTGATTGACATTTTGCCCAGAATATGTTACAGCAAATTCCAGATATGATGCCTTTTACTCATATATCCTTCAGTGTTCATTTCAAATTGATAAAGCCTTTTTTTTAATGTAATCTCCATGCCATTATCACATCTCCAAAATTAATACTAATTCTTTAATATCTAGTACCCAGTTCTTATTCAGATTTCTCCAGTTGTGTCAGGTATATCCTCTCCACGTTTGGTTTGTTGCATCAGGAATCAGAGTTCACACATTGCATTTCATTGTTACATCACTTGAGCCTGTTATTCTACAGTAGGTAACCCCTCTCTTTTTTCTTTGCTGTTTTTTAGGTGTTTATCCCACATTCTGGATTTGGTTGATTATTGTGGTGTCGTTTAACTTGTTTGCCTATCTATGGATATCCTGTAAAATGGTAGTTTGTTCTAGAGGCTTGATTAGATTCTGGTTCATTTTGGGGGCAAGAATGCTTCATAAGTGGTGCTAAATACTTCCTGTTGTATCACATTTAACACAGAAGTTTGAGTGTCACACTTTTATGATGCTAAGTGGATTCAGATGGTATCAGCCTAATTCCCCCCAAATAAAGTTCCCTATTAACCTTTCATCTAATGGTTTTGGCATCCATGAAGACTATTACTAGACCCATTATTTCATTAGGAGTTACAAAATGGTGATTTTTCTAGATCTTGTCATTCCATCTGCATTTATTAGCTGAAATCCTTCTAAACAAGAAACTCCTTCGTCAAATATTTGTTTTCTCTGAAAAATGGTTTATACAAGAAAGGCAGGAAAAATGCTTAATTCTTTCCCTGTATTGATTTTCAGAGAAACATCCTGATACCCTAGCAACTTCATGATGACTTTTAGATTTTTGTATCTTTATGTTTCAGTCCATTGCAGACAATATACTTTTTGATACTCAGAGTGTCCATTTATCTTGGATTGGCACTTGCCATATTGGCCAAACTATTGCAATTCTTCATCGTTAATAAAGCTAGAAAACGTGGATTTGAACCACAACTCTGCTATAAAACCTTGGGAAAGTTAAGTAATCTTTTCTGTCTTAATTTCCTCATCTGTAAAATAGAGGTAATACGTACTGTGCTGTATCATTTGGCTTCAATGAGATTAATTTTGTAAAATGCTTAGTTCTGTGGTTGAAACGTAGTAGGCACTCAGACAGGAGCCTGTATTAGATTCTCCAGAGAAACAGAACCAATAGGATGGATGGATGAGTGGGTATGTATATATGAGTATGTATATATATGTGTGTATGAGTATATTTTTTGTATATATGAGATGTGTTATATAGGAATTGGCTCACATGGTTATGGAGGCTGAATATTCCCAGGATCTTCATTTGGCAAGCTGGAGAACCAGGAGAGCCAGTGGTGTAAGTTCCAATTCAAAGGCAGGAAAAGACCCATGTCCCAGCTCTAGGACAGTCAGGCAGAGAGAGTGAATTCTCTCTTATTGCTCTTTTTTTTTTTTTGCTGAGGAAGATTCTTCCTGAGCTGCCAATCTTCTTCTTTTTTATTTTTTTTCCTTCAGGAAGATTAGCCCTGAGCTAACATCTGTGCCAGTCATCCTCTATTTTGCATGTGGGTCACTGCCATAGCATGGGTGACAGTGATGTATGTCCGAGCCCTGGAACTGCACCTGCAAACCCGGGCCGCTGGAGCAGAGCGTGCCAGACTTAACCACCACGCCACCACATGCCATGGGCCGGCCCTCTTACTGCTCTTTTTTGTCCTATTCAGGCATTCAGTGGATTGGATGAGGTCCACCCACATTGGGGAGGACAGTCTGCTTTACTCAGTCAAATGTTAATCTCATCCAGAAACACCCTCACAGACACACTCAGAATAATTGACCCAAATATCTGGGCATCCGGTGGCTGAGTCAAGTTGACACATAAAATTAACCATTACAGAGCCCAAATTGTTAGAGGTTTTACTTCCTCATTCTCTGGGAGGATTTCTTTTGCCTACCCTATTCAGAATTGTTATATTCAGTCAGCAAGTTGAAATGCAGTTTTGTTTTCAATCTTCTATTCGTAACAAGCCTAATTGTTTCAAATTTCAGTAACTATTGCTTTGATGGTGAGGAACTGGCTATTTTCTAGGACTTTGGGGTGGGTAATTTAAGCTCTTTATGAAATTAACACATGGCGACTGGTGGTTCCAAATATCTCAGCCGTGCATAGTTTTGGATGCTGCCCCTATTTTTTCTTGCAACTTCCCAAAGGTCAGGCTGTCTTTTTTAATTTGAATTTTCTTCTTCTTCAGTATGTTGAGTATGGCAGACTTAATGATAGCTTTTAGCTCTCTATTAAGACACTTAACTGTGTGTAGGTTTCTCTTGTATAGATCAGAATTTGAATGTTTATGTGATTTCTTAGTTGATTTTATCATATAGAATGCATAAAATGGTCTATTAATTCTCATATGGAAAGATTTTTCTCCTTGATTATAGGTTCAGTTATTTAAATTTGTTAAATGACAATATATTTTTATATGGTTCAAAATTCAAAAAGAAATAAAAGTATATAGTGAAAAGTCACCATCCCATTCCTGTACCTTAACCACCCAGTTCCCCTTCCATAGACAACTACTTTTATTTCTTGTTTGTCTGTTGAAAGATATTTATGCATATTCAAGCAGCTGTTGATATATATTCCTCCCCCCTTTTAAAAACAAATTGTACTCTTCATGTATAAATTTATCTTTTCTGGGTTCTCTCAGCTCAAGAGTGTAGTCAGTCTCATGCTAGGTTCTTTTGTTCCTCAGATAAGGCTCTAAATTAAAACAGAGTATAAAATAGGACCTAATATTTATAAGCCTTTATTTTCATTAGGAATGGCAAAGGGATAACATGTCAGCTTCCACCCTGTCAGTTTTGCATTGGAGACTAAGGATCTTCTCGAATTCCTGGATAACCTCATTTGTTTAGTTCTGATCAGAGTCGAGAACTACTGGTAGCATATCAGATCTTTGGGGGGAGTGTTGAATGTTCTGCATTTTTTTTAATCCGATGTGATATAACAGACATGACTGACTTGCAGGCAAGCCCCAAACATTCAGAAGCCTTGGGAGCTCCTGTCTGCCAGCTCCAGAGCAGCTGTCAGGCAGCTGTTGGGAGGGCCTGGGAGGCACCGAGGGAAGGGGCAGAGGGCCAGTGCTGATTTTCCCTCCTAGACGTAGTTGTGAACTTTCATTGTCAGAAGGAACCAAGAGGTCATCTTATCCCACTACCCTTTTCCTACCAGCAGGGTCCCTTCTGCAGTGTCCCCACAAGTTGTGGCTTAAGCTGGGACAAATGTCTCCAGTGACAGGCGTGCCTCCTGAGGCAGCCCATTGCCCCTTCAGTTCTGTGGACTCTTTAGCATGTTGACTTCCTGTAGTTTGTACCCACTTATCTTCCATCTACTTCTAGAGCTACACAGAACAAGTTGAACCTCTCTTTATGTCATAGCTCTTTAGATATTGAAAGACAGCTGTCAGTCCTCCCAGTGAGTCTTTTCTCTAGGGAAAATATCCCCAGTTATATCAATTATTTTTCATATGACATGGAATCTAATTCCTTTGCCATCCTATTCATTCTTTGAATCCCTCCGGTTTGCCTCTGTCTTAGAGTGTGTGGTCCAGCACTGACCACGTAACATCCCCAGGATGTTCTGACTAACGTACAGTTGAGTAGGCTTTTTATCACCCGTATCCTAAAAACTGAGCTGCTGTCACTGCTGTTGATACAGCCTAGGATCAGATTAGTTCTTTTAGCAGCTACTTCACATTTTTGTCTCATAGAGAGTTTATTGTCAACTAACCACCAAGTTATTAGTATCATTATTGCCACATGGACCACTGCTAAGAGAATCTTCACTATTCTGTGTTTGGATATGTGTTGGATTCCTCCTGGGTACCTCTTCTGGAGATCTTTTGGCCCTACCACTTCCTCCAGCCAATGTGGCAGTGACCAAATCTGTGCATGTTTCAACCACCTTTGCTCAGATACAATGTGGTGGTACCTTTCTTCAACCTGTCTCTAGTTTTGTGGGATTTCTCTGATGCTGGAACGACTTCTAACACTAACTACCTGGAGTTTGGCCAAATGGGCACAAAACTCCCTCGCTTCAGACATCAGCTGCAAATTTAGGGGTCCCCAGACCACTGTCACTTCTGATCAGCTGGCTACAAATTTGGCGGTACCCACTACCCCCTTAGGTTAATAATTCATTAGAATGATTCACAAGACTCAGGAAAGTGCTATACTTACGATTACAGTTTTATTATAGCAAAAGGATACAAGTGAACCAGCCAAAGCGAAAGATGCATAGGGCGAAATCTGGGAGGCATCAGACACAAAGCTTCCATTGTCCTCTTCCCATTGAGTCAGGGTGCATTACCTGTCCGGCACATTGATGTGTAACATACGCAAAGTATTGCCAACCAAGGAAGCTTATCTGAACTTTGATGTCAATAGTTTTTATTGAGACTTCATTATGTAGGCGTGATATGGAAATGAAGTGATTAAAAATGAGCCTAACCTTTTCTGTCTATATTCTTGTTATTGTTAATCTGGTATAAGGCTGTGATGCTTCTGAAAAAGATAGGCTGCTTGAGCGTACAGCAGGCCTCCTAACTCTAGAGATCATATATCCTTCCATATTGATTGCTTTCAGTGAAACCACACACGTGAGCAGGGAGAAGCTGGGGGACATATAAATGGCTGCCCTTTCCAGGTTCAGGTTACTAACATGCTTGTGATTTCTTTCCAGGTCTGATTTTTGTGGTTGACAGTAATGATAGAGAGCGGGTCAATGAGGCCCGAGAAGAACTAACCAGAATGTTAGCAGAAGATGAGCTCAGAGATGCAGTTTTATTGGTGTTTGTAAATAAACAGGTATGTCGTTGGCTTTCTGAGTACTGGGACTGAAATTTACTGCCATGTGCTCACTTAAAAATATAGATATTTAAATTAGATGTCTGCCTTCCTCTCTTCAGTCCCTACCATAATCTTTCCCTCTGTTGCCTTTTCAACATACGTCTAATATTCATCCATTCACTCAACAAATATTAACTGAGCATCTACTAAGATCTAGGCATTGTTTTAGGTATTGGTGATATAGCAGTGAACAAGACAGACAAAAGTCCCTGTGTTCATGGAGTTTACCTTCCAGTGGGAGGAGAGTCAGTCAATAAATATGTGCCTGGTGGAAATGTTGTGGAGCAAGGTAGAGCAGAGGAAGGGGGCAGGATGGATGTGGGGAAGGGCCAGAATGCCTCTCTGATAAGATGGTGTCTGAGCAAGGCCTTGTATCAGAGGACAAGATAGACAGAGATTCCTGCCCTTGTACGGCTTGCATTCTAGTTAAGGGAGATGGATAATAACTAATAACATACTAAATAAGTAAATTTTATAACATAATAGCATGTGGTGAGTGCTGTATTTAAAAAAGTTAAGCAGGACAGTTAGGAGGGTCACAGGGCTCAGATCATGAAGGCCTTGCAAACCCTCATAAGGACTCTGGCTCTCACCCCAAGAGAGACGGAGCTGTTTCAGGGTTTTGATAGAAGAATAACTTGATCTGACTTGCACCGACTGCTGGGTTGAGAAGAGACTTTAGGGGAGCAAGAGCAGAAGCAGAGAGACCAATTAGGAAGTTATTTCTGTCATCGAGTGAGAAATGATGGTGGTGGGATCAGGGTATAGCTATGGAGGTGGTGAGAAGTGGTCAGATTCTGAATGTATTTTAAGGGTAGAGCCAGTAGGATTTCTTAATATGGAGTTGAGAGAGTTGAGAAAGAGAAAAATTAAGGATGATTGCAGGGTTTTAGCCTGAGCAGCTAGAAGGCTAGAGTTGCCATCAGCTGAGATAAGACTGTGGGTTAGGGGAGGTTTTGGGGGAAAAGCATAATATTTCATTATGTAGGTACAACATTATAAACTGACTTTTGAATATTCTCTTTCAAGGATCTTCCCAATGCTATGAACGCAGCAGAGATAACAGACAAGCTCGGCTTACATTCCCTCCGCCAGCGAAACTGGTACATTCAGGCTACTTGTGCCACCAGTGGAGATGGGCTTTATGAAGGCCTGGACTGGCTCTCCAACCAGCTCAAAAACCAGAAGTGATCGGAAGTGATCTATTCCCTGTGCATCGTGGCAAAATCAGCTGGCCTCTTCTGTGTGCATGTGTGTGTGTGAGGAGCCAAGTGTGGGTGTGTGGCTGGGAGTGGGAGCAGCTTTCTCACACCGTGCCTTATACATGCTGTAAGAAAACCTGTCCTACATTTTAAGAAAAACCAGTGTTACATTTTAAATGCTACCTTCTGTTTCAATAGCTTTGATGATCAGTTTTGCAGTTGATGGCGGAGTCCAGAGGGCTCACTGGTGCACGATAGCCAGAGTGGTCTTTGTGGTGGGAACGCGGGGGAGAGTTGGCGTGTGGACTGAGTTCATTTGTGCAGTCCTGGATCTGGCGTCTGCACACCTGGGGTCCTGTTAGACTTTGGTGTCCTTTTGTAAATAGGAAGGAACTGTCATTCTTTCCCATCACTGCCAGAGATAGCAGCTCACTTTTCAGTGCTTTAAAGCAAACGATCCTCAAGAAAAAAAGGCACTTGCTTACCACAGGATGGAAGTTCAGATTTGAACTTTTCCCTTAAATTATGTTCAACCTAGATTTCCTGGTTTAACGTGCTTTATTTAAAGGAACCAGTTATCTTTTTCATTAGAGTATCAAGACTCTGTAACACTAGAAAATTATCCAGTCCTTCCCTTATGCTAGTTCCTGCCCTTATTTGCCAAATGGAGACCAAATTGGGTAATAACCCAACATGAGGCTGAGGCTCTTACTGGGGCCACACAGTCAAGCGAGGGTCAGGTTAAGGAAGCGAGGTGACGTCATGTTTGTGTCCTACATCACCGTCTCAGGCGTAGGCTCGTGAGACTGCTGCTCCCACTGCTCTCTCTGTGCTGAATGCTCTGCGCTCGAAGCAGGAGGTTCGCTCCTGGGATGGACTCATCACCATGTACAGTCTCTTAGGCCAACTTTTGGTTTGGGTTAGTTTCTGTTCCCAGAACCACATGCCTGTGAGTTCTGAAAGTTTGTGAGAGAATTAAGAAGTTGATTTTGGGGACAAAATTCCTGGCAACCCTTGGTATTGCCCCCGAGTTGGTGCTCAATTTTGCTATGAAAAATGTCTAGTCTAGACTGCTCTCCGTGGCACTGACTCCCTCTTCTGGATGGCAATAATGTCTTCTGTGGAAATGTGCTTTCTTTGTCTTTAAAATATTGATAGAAATGGCTTGGAAATGAGCTCAGTGCACTCAGTTGTCTAGAGCTCTTTTGCCCAGATGGCTGTTGGCCAAATTTGTACCTAAGCTTTATGTTTTAAAATTCCTTTTTCAAAAAACCTTTATTCAAATTACAGAGGAGGGGAATGTACGGTGAATTTTAAGAAAAGTAAACCTTGTTTATTGATATCGATGGAGTTGCTGTTACTAGGAAGAAATTTCATACTGTGATAAATGTAGGGTGTAATGTTTTTCTTTAAAATATTGACTTTAAAGAATGTTCATTTCAACACTTGCAACTAAGTCCAGATTTGATTTTTAACCATGGAGTAATTCCTGAGAAATGTCCAGATTGTGTGCCTCAAATTGGCAGGGACTGTGTCTTAGGCTTTTGTGTTTATGCTTAGTACAGTGTACCTCGTATGGTGCTAGGCCTCATGAGACACGTGTTGGTTGGTTGGACAATAAAGAACTTGCTCTGGAAGGAGCAGAGGACCGCCACGTGCTTCTGAATGTCTTGAACTACTTTAAAATCCCTCCCCCTCCATCCCAGCAGACTCTCCATTGAAAACTCCCAGGCACTTGTACAAAAACAGCTGCAGAGGTGCTGTCCTCCCTGTACTCGTCTCGACACTTTCAACGACAGTCTTGCTCTTTCTGTGATTTTGGAGCTGGGGAGTTGGGGTAAATGGGAGCACTTCAGTGTAGTGGCTTTGAGCAAGGACGTGGGTCCCTGAAAGCCATGTTCACATCCCACCTGTGTCCCTCCCAAGCTGCTGGCCTCAGGCCTGTTACTCTTAACCTCCATATCTCTGAGCCTCTGTTTGCTTGACTGTTAAATGGGGATAATACCACCTACCTTGTATGGCTGTGAGGATTAAATGTCCCAGACCTTTGAACGCCTGGCTCTGGTGGGTCCCTGGAGAAACCTGAGGTCTGAAAGTGAATAGCAGTGCTGGCCACAGACTGTCAGCACTGTTATAGGAGAGATGAAGTGGGAGGGGGTGGGGCTGTGTCCTCTCTCCCGCTCTAGTCACCTTCTGATCCTGCTGAATGCTCTGTCCTCTTCTAGCCATGGTAGATGCTAATGAGACCAGCTGGGATGCTTGTTTAAAAAAGCACACTGCCGTGTCCCCCTACCCTCACCCTCTTTTTCTTTATTCCTTTTTTGGTTTGTTTTTAAATTCTGTGATTTTTAGTATATTCACAGAGTTGTGTAGCCACCACTACTAATTTCAGACTATTTTCATCACCCCAAAAAGAAATCCTGGATCCATTAGCATCCACTCCCCTTTTCTCCCTTCCCCATGGCCCCCGGCAAGCACTAATCTACTTTCTGTTTCTAGGGATCTGCCCCTTATGGGCTGGTGTGGGGCCTGGGGAACTGGGGGTGCTTTAGGAAGTGCCGAGGTGCTGTTGGCCTGACGGCAGCACCAGTCCCGGGCGTCAGTCTGATGACAGATGAGGCGGAGCCCCAGGGAAAAGACTGCCCCATAGTTAGGTGACTGGAATTGATTACCTTGAGAGGAAGGTGGTACTAATTAATGCGGGGACATAGAGCCTAAAGTGGGATGTGTGGTCGCCCCATCAGAGTGGCAGGAGCTCTGAATCTGGGATCAAAGGCCGAGGCTGGAATCAGCTCCGCCCATCCTCCAGCTGGATTCAGTGGGATACTCAGCCTCTGACCCTCAATTTGCCCACCTGGAGAGGAAGTTCCCAGGCTTGCCGGGGCACAACTCTGCGTGAATACCGAGAGCATGGGGGTGGTGTGGGGGCTCCATGAGTCCGTTGTATGTATTGTGGATCATGTAATTTGATCTATTTTAAATAATGCCTCAAGGCTGAGAATATTTGCATGTGAGTTGCTCAGGACAGGAGAGTTTATACTCCTGTCGAGGTGGGTTTCAAGTGAAGTGAAGTACGACACCTTGAAGTCGCCTGAGTCTTTTGTCCATGGGTATCTGGTGGAGGTCAGACAGTATACAGAAAACCTGACCATGTGCTCTGGAGACACTTTTATCTTTTTAAATGTTCAATATTCTTTTCACCCTTTTGGTCACCGCTTTATTCAGCTATAATTCACATACCATACAGTTCACCCGTTTAAAAGTATACGGTTCAATGGTTTTTAGTATATTCACGGATTTGTGCAACCATCGCCACAATCAATTTTAGACCATTTTTGTCACTCTGAAAAGAAACCCTGTACCCTTTAGCAGTCTCACCCCATTTCTTTCATACCCCTCAGCGCTGGGCCACCACTCGGCACTGATGCCCTTTCTGTCTATAGATTTGGTGGGGACACATTTCAAACTTTGCTTTTTCACCACCCATGGTCTCTGAGGAGCACCACGCCGAGAAGTTTTCTCCTGTTTTGATTTTCCTTCTTCTTTTGATCTTTATTCTTCTAATGCATGGCATCTAAAGGCCCCTAGGGGAGTGCTGTGGCCACACGCAAGCATTGGACGGACCACTGAACTGTGACCTCCACGGTGTCTGCTCATTAGATTAGCTACTAATTTGGCCTGTAAATAGCTTGCTGCTGCTCGTCGCCACTAGGTGGTGCTGCTGCTCCATCCCACTGACCTGCACAACCCTCTGGCTAGGGTGGGCCATGGGGGTTCCCAAGTGTAGGAGAATCCATCTTCTTGCGTGGACACCAAGAGTGACCCAGAAAACAGGGACCGCAGGCAGGGATATGTCTGGAAGAGAAAGGCAAAATAGGCACCTAGAGCAGAGGGCTTGTGAGTGCTGGTAGGCAGCAGCAGTGTTAGCAGCGGTAATCATAAAGCAGTAATCACTACTATTTATTGAGCATCCTGGATACTGCTCGAGGCACTTTACATACGTCATCTGATCTTCACACCCAGCAAGGCATGTGTATTATGTCTGCTTTGCAAAGGGGGAAACCAAGGTTCAAGAAGATAAAGTGACTTGCTGGAGGCCACATGGCCTTGATCCAAATGCATTCCTGGGGCGCCAGGGCCCACATCCTTCCAGCACACACTGCTGCCTTGGGCTCTGTACTGAAGACCAGACATTGGCCTCCAGAGCTGGGCCGACGGGGAGGGAAGGAAGCAAAAGTGCCCACTGGAGACATCTAGGGAGGGCCCAGAGCCCAGGGACACAGAGCAGCATGTGCAGAACTGTGTCAGCTGACACACAAGGGGGAATGAGCCGTGGGTGGAGGAGGAAGGGCCAGGGCACACAGATGCGCTATACGCCGGTGGAGACCACAGCCAAGGCAGACCCGGACCTACCCCGGATGCTGATAATGTTCTTTGGAAAGCCAGAGCGATAATCACAGTGTTCTAAACTGGATTGTGGTGATGGCTGCACAACTGTATAAATTTGTTAAGAACCATCAAATTGCTCACAATGGGTGAACTGTATGGCATATAAATATTATCTCAATAAAGCTGTATGAAGTTTATAATCCTGAAACCAATAGCGACGAGGGTGCCGAGTCAGTAGGTCTCAGTAGTGCTGTAGGCACTTTGAGAAGAGATGGAGAGTGGCATCTCAGAGTAGAAACCCTGAGCAGTGGCTGTCCAGCCTTTGCTTGAATGCGTTCAGTGCCAGGAAGCTCAGTACCTCCTAAAGCAGCCCGTTCAAGTTTGAGATAACTCTCTCTAATCCTTAGAAAGTTGAACTCTATCACTTGTCCTTATCCTGCTGTGCAGAATAAACTTCTTTGCTTTGCACTATGACATCTCTTTCAGCACTTGAGGGCAATCATTGCATTCCCCCCAAGTCTTTTTTATCCCATACAGAAATCCCCAGGGGTTTTCATATGACAAGATTTCCAGCCCCTCCTATTCTCCTCGTAGCTCTCTGTCACACTTGCTCTGATCTGTCAGCATCCTTCTTAAAATGTGGGGACCAGTGATATTCTGAGATGCCAGCCCAGAGCCGTGGTTCACAGTTTGGATCTTAGAGTTAAGGCTCTCTAGGTTCAAATCCTCACTCCACTATAGGCCTGCTCTGTGACCATGGTTAAAAATACCAACCTCTCTGAGCATCAGTGTCTCCATCTGAGTTATGGAGGATTATGCTGACCCTCACCTTTCTGAGGGGTCCTGCTGTCCACCCCCTTTAGGTGGGCTTGTCCTGGCTTAGTGATGGCTAGGGTGAGGGAGAGCGGTCCAAGATAGCAAGCTGTCACAGCTGCTAATCAGCCCAGCGGATGCGAACCACCAGGAGAAGGGGCTCTGCCCTCTCTGCCTACTGGGCGTTCCTCCCACAGAGCTTTGGTCTCTGGTAGAGGGGGGAGACGATGCGGGGGAGGGTGGGGGCACAAACATCTGCTGCTGTGCCTGCCTCAGATGCCGAAGAAGTTACTCCCTTCTTTCTCTTTCCTTAACATTTTAATTTGAAAAATTTCAAACACAAAATCAGCTAGATGCAACAATGGTTCACAGTTGCTACATTTGCTCTATAGATCTCTGTTTATATATACTTCTCTTGCTGATTCATTTGAAAATAACATGCAGACACTATGACCCTTCACCCTGAAGAATGTCAGCGTGGATCTCCTAAGCATGAGGATATTCTAAACACAAACACAAAATTATCTTCACACCTAAGAAAATCTATACTAATTTTCTAATATCATCTGGTTTCCAGTTCATGTTTAAATTTCCTCAGTTGTCTCCCAGTTGTCTTTATAGCAGTAATTTTTTTTTCCAAACCAGGATCCAGTCACGTTTTACCCATTATGTTTATGTTTCTTTTAATCTACAGCAATCTGTCCACCTATTTTTTTTTTCCTGGTTTTTTTTCAAGAGTCTCCTCTTAATCTCACCCTTTGTCCACTGGACAAGCCCCTCCCCAAAACTACCCCCAAGGTGGGGCTAACAGGCCATATATTGTTCCACCCTTAATCACTGTTATTCCATGCCTTTCTCCTTAGAGTCCATTTACTTGAGGAAGAGGCTCCCCAATTGGGACAACCTGGTGGGGGCGGTGGGGTCTACACAGTTCAGCCTTAGCCATGCCCATGGCTCCACTTGGTTGAAATCTGACTTGA